GAAAATTCCATTCAGTCCAGATCGCAGTGGCACCAATAGCGGGCATCAGCTGCACGCAGGTTTGCAGTGCCTAACCAAATATTTTGTTGGATGGTTGGTCGCAAATTGTAAGGTTGACAGTCGTAACGGAAAGAAGGCGGTTAGCTGCTTTTGCCAGGAAGTTTCCCAACATGACGTGAACCCCACCAGGGTAGCATTCGAAAATGCAGGAATATCAGTCGCAAACGTAAAGTGCTTCCAATTTAGATTAAGATGTTTAGCTTACAATCGTACCAAGAAGATTAATATCATTTGTGCTAAACGGACTATATCTTACATGCAATTTACTTCGATGTTTTCTGTACTCAGTTTTCATCGCACGGAGCCCATCAAATCAGTCCGATTCCGTGCTAAATTCGAGATTTACCCAAGTTTTGGACTCTTCAAGGCTAAGAGTTAACCCGGACGATAGCTCAACAGTTTTACTTGACCTTACCGAGCTTGGAAAATATGGAACTTTTTATTAGGTGCAATCAACTGTTAACACACCTACTTTATCTCACTGCACATATCCCATGGCATATAAGATATTGTCTAAACCATTATCAAATCTTCGCAATTATTAAACAGATCTCTTAAAGGGATGATTAACAATCGGCCGCAGACCTGGCATTAAAGCTCTAACGGAATGCCCACCATGACAAATGGTAATGGCTGAATTTGTCCCATTGCTTTACTGCTCGCAATGTTTATTCCAGGAACAAGGTGTAAACTGCCCCATAAGTCTCCACCTGAATAATTTGCATCACTACGCTCCGGAAGAAATGCTATGCTTGATCAGCATCGAAAGTACTGTAAACGCATGACTTCTTGATTAAATACGAGGGTTGAGCGATAAGTTACCGCATACACAACGTTTTATATTGTTACAAAAAATAAGTTATATTTTCTCGAATTTCTCTCCAATAGCGTTCATGCACAATTCCGTACGCTCAAACCATTCGGAGATGCCGATAGACAATGCCGAAGCGAGTAAACCTACAAGCAGCTCAATAAAGTACTATACCGCAGTTTCTGGAGACTCGTAGCGGATTCCGCGCACCAGGCCTTGATATTTTGAGGCACAAACTTGTCACACGCAGACAGGTCTGGACTGTAAAATGAGTGACCGACATCCTGGATGCGTTCTGTGATCAGAATATCTACGACGACATGGGACCTGTGTGCACGTGTGTTGTCATGGTGCAGATAGATCCCTCGTGCTTGTCATTGCACAACGCCTGACTACAACTTCCTGCATTTTGGCAGACAGTGGGTGGCTTGTCAGTATCCGGTGACTGTGCGCTGCCTTAAGAGCGATATAGTAGCCACATAACCGGTCTTGGCCACGAACACAGCCACCATCTGCCTGGCCACACTGCGCTTAGGCCGGAACTTCTGAGGCGGCGGCCCACCAATAGCCGCCCACTGAGCCGATTGTTGCTCGGTCTCTGGGTCTAAAGTGTATACCTAAGTCTCACTACCACTGAAGATCTCCAAAACAACATCGGGATGTCCACCATCAGACCTGGCAAGTATGATGCGAAACCAATTCATCCCAGGTGCTTTGCGGTCCTCACTGAGCTGATGGGGTGCCCAGCGTGCGCAAACCTTTCTGAGGCCGAGGTTCTTATGTAGGATGGTGTGGAGTGATCTCGATGTGATCCCGCTGGCTTTCCCCAGCTGTACCACAGTCATCCACGCGTCCACTTCCAGCATCGCTTGCACAGCAGCAATGTTGCTCGCGGTGGTGACCTCCTCAGGTCGACCACACCGTGCCTCATCATCTAGGGACTACACACCAGGCTTGAATTCCGCAAACTACTCAGACGCAGTAGTATTTGAAGGCGCAACGTCAGCAAACGCAGCACGTATAGCGCTCTGGTGTTGCTTTAAACCACATTTGTAATCATAGATAATCATCGCCCTCCAGTGACATCGACCGGGTTCCATACCTACAGGCAGAGTATAGTGACCCTTTTGACTTTGTGCTGATTTCATGTTTTATGATTTGAAATCATTGAACAATTTCAGAATGGAATACAGTTCTCCCTTTTCCTGTCAGGACATTCGCACCTAAGCAGTGTGCTGCGTATCCGGAAACTTATTGCTCGGCCCTCGTATAGGAAAGCTGTGGATGGTTACGATATGACCCCAGTGCGCCCTCTACTTTATCTCGACTTCTTACCGCATGGGACCAGCGCTAAACCTTGACCTAGTTCCTACGCAATGTGACGGTATGAAATACAAAATAGGAAATAATACGAAATGGCAACACAACTTTTCCCGTACCTTGAAGGAAATCTCGTAAGATTATTGACTGATTCGGTCGATGTCAGCTTTCCACGTTATAATGGGCACCACGATGTTGTTCTACACAGTGCCGGCTGCACATGTTGATGCATAGCTACAGAAGTCCCCAGTCAGTGGGCAACAAGAAATACAAGTGATATCGTACAGTCGAGTCTCGGATCCGAGAAAGATAAGCAAAATTTCTCAGTCTCAAGCCGGCATATTTGTATCACTCGTATGCTCTCCTGGTCTAGGACGAATAAACGTTTTGTACCTATACAGCTTTGACAACAGTGATGTTTTGAGAGGGACTTACAATATGCTCCCAAACAATGCCTTGAATAAAAGTAGGTGGCATAATTCTAACGGCTTTTGATCCAAAGAGCCTCACTGTGAGCTATTAATAAATTGACTACCATTTTTCCTGTGTAAGTCGTGCGGGTTCGTTATTTGGCCACATACAGTTCAATCTGTTTCCAAGATCGCTTTCAAACCTAGAACTACTGAAGCGCGTAACGCAACGCTACCGAAATCCTCCAAGAGTGGGATAGCATCAAGTATGTCAGCCGCGCAAGCTCCGGACTATTTTGTTTTTCCTATTCCAGCGACGATTTTTACGTGGGTTCCGACAATTGTAGCCTCAACTTCCCCGTGGAGGGACTAAGCAGATACACCGCTATTTATACTACACGTATGCCTTGGGTCAATAAGTTCTGAGCGATATATTGCTATATGGTTAATTGAATTTGACTTTCACTGCTAATCCGGTGATTTTAAACATGTATTGACGTACCGCCGTTTATTCACTTCTACTACAGTCGCAACGAAGCATATACTAAGAATTTCTGTATAAAACAGTGCCGCTGTGACCAACAGAGCCAATTTCGCGCGTCCAGCTCTGTCGCACTTTGGAATTTGTGATTTAACCTGCTCTTTTAACCGTGTTGGCTCTTCAGTCAGTCATATCACTGTTAGGACACTGTGTAACGAATTAACATTCAAAGAAAATGCTATAGTACAGTTAAAAAAGCGATTGCTTTACTAGTCCCGTAGGATGGTTAAAGTGAAAGCAAACATCAGTGTAAATCATCAATTTAAGCGTCTAGCGATTCAGGTGTCCTGCTTCACTAAAATATTTTAGAATGCGTATGGAATTGTTACTGTAGAGAAATATGGGTAAGGTATGTCTTAAGAACAAAGGAAACGACCAACGCTTACTCGTGCGCCGCTTTCTTGGATTGAAGTAACTGATGAATGCAATTGTATTATATCCGAAACTATATCCCACAGCAGCAGCGTGTAAGTAGTAAAGCACAAATGCTGAGCGTGAGCCCCGTTTGTTAGCGTTTGGTTGACGTAGACATCACTGATTATATAGCGTAATGTAAGTGGATAAGCAAATCATCCAGACGTCTTTTGAACGCCGTTAGCTTGGGGGAAGAAACAACATATGTGGGAAGAGCGTTCCGGTGTAAGCACACACGAAAGGGAAAGAAATTCTGGCGGCATTCCGACCGGCTGTATTGTGTGGCGAGCTTTAGCTGGTGTCCTCTGAATGTGGTATTGCGATTCAGCTTTAGTAGGTGACGACAAGAGTGGTTTGGACTCCTCAGGATCGTATAAGTCATTATCGAGTTGCCAAGCAGGCGTCGATATTGTCCACTGTAGGCCCCGAGGGTTTTCAGCCTCAATCGCCGATGGAGATGAAACAGGACCTTTACGTTCTTGATCGCCCATCGTTGTTGCAGTTCAAGAGCGATAACGTCTTGATTTTGCAATAATGGTAAGCAGGTGGCTGAAAATTCCCCGCTTAACGTCTACGGTAGCGTCTTTTGTGCTGCATTTTATTCTGTTTGCAACGAAGGAAGTTGTTAAGAGCGTGTACATTTCCGCTTTTGGACTGACATCTTTAGCTAGTGGTTCCGGTTAAGTGTCTTCTTGAGGTTAACCAGTTTGCAAGAATTCCTACTACTCACCCATTTTCTACATGAGTAGTATTTTGCTTTAGCTGACATTAGCTGCACTTCATCACATCCAAACTTAGTCAGGCGGCCATCGCACGCCCCGAACAGTATCTGGCACTCATTTCATTTTCAGCTATCGTCGGTAGTGCGAATTCCACTTGGTCCAAACCATGGAATCTTAAGAGTAACGTCGTTGAGTGAGGCGCCCCTTGTTTTGCACCGTCCTGGAGATTGCTGAAAAAAGAATGTCATCCAGGGCTTTAACGGAAGTGCTATAGCTGTCTGACTTCGTTTAAATATGATATACTCAACCTATACAATTCGAGTATGTCAACGATTTCCGGCCTGTAACAACTGTCTAGGCAGGTCTGTTTGATGAATGAGCTTGCCCACTACATAAGTTGACTTACTTCCTCTCTGACACAAGTAACCGGGCGCAAGAGCAACAGTGCTTGGAAGCATTAGATGAACAATGCTGATTTTGAGCACTACCAGGTTTCGAGCTTGGGTTACTGAGATAACGAGGCGTTTTGACACAACAGCGGATGGCATGATACGGTCCAGTTACACACTCCATCGTTTGATACGCAATCACCCTTAACCCCAGTGTTTAAAAGTCAAAACCATAACGTTAAATGCCGTTGAACACAATTATCAATTTTACTTGAGAATGTATCCACTTAAGCTCCATTTGGTCGATACATTTGTTCAATATCCTATTTTCAGCGTATTCTTCAGCTCATGTGGAACCAAAGATAGTCGCTGAAGGTTCATCTTGTCATTACGACCTTCAGTTTGTTTCAAATTCTGAAGAGTGCCTTGGACACCGTCGATGAGCACAGAATACATCACGCTGACTTCAGTGATCGAAAATAAGACTATCAATAGAAATGGTCTACATTCGGACTATGCTAGCTTGGCTCGGTTTGCCCAACGGCATCCTTTGTTTTGGCATAGACTTCCCTCCTTGTCACCTAGCACCAACCCTGAACTGGAGTTACCCGCTGCAAGAATTCAACAAAATCCACCAGCTGTTCAACGCTTAAAGTGGTTAGACACTTCAGAAAAGTTCAACAAATCATTGAAAGATGAAAGTAATATCCCTCAAGATACTTCATTGAAAAAACTCACAACATGGCGAGGAATGACCCCCTTGGACTCTCCAAATCGATACTCCCCTGAGCAGATACGCTTAGATGCGCTGTCACCGACACCGAAGGCGGATGATACGTGTAGTTCAGTCTTCCAGGAGGAACCTCCACAATCACCTTGGAAACACCGAACGTGTTCGGGGTGTAGAAACCAGATAATGCAAGACCGATGTCTGGGCCTATCCGACGGTCAATTGTGGCACATGGACTGTTTGAGCTGCATTCAATGTGGTAGGCCGCTACAGGAGGAGAGTAGTTGCTTTTACCGGCTAGGAAATGTATATTGCAAGGAGGATTATATCAGGTAAGCTTTAGCCCCATCTTATCTGTGAATGCATTTGTTTCGGTTTTTTCATGGAAAGGGATCAGTGTAGTTTCTATGCAGACAAACGTACATACTAATAGATCAGTAGAAAAACAACCAGTTGCCACTATGAGCATTTCCTGTAAAAATTTTCACCCTGAAGGTACAGCTACGTAGAGCAACAGGGAGCTTCTATTTCTCAAATCGCTACCCTAATGAGTAGGTTTTAACTGTTCTGTTTAACAAAAATCTTGAAGTATCCAATATTGCAGTTATATTTTGGCATAAAAGGGATTATTATTGTTATCAATAACAACAGCATTAATTAATTTATTACAAGTGATGAACAAACTTTAACAGGTACCATGGAATAACGGAAAAATAGTTGCAAAAATGACGCTTGTCGAGAACCGACCGTTAGATTCAAAATGCACAGTTTACATGCGTTATGTTATACCCTAATAAACACAAGTTAAAGACGCGGGCTGATTAGGGAAGCGTATCATCGCGTAGTTTCTTGATGCCGAACACAAAAGGACCAGACGCAGCGAGAGTCGAAAGTTAGTGCCACGATGGGTCTGCTGGAAGGAAAGATGCCTTTCGACGGTACTCTAACCGATGGTAACGTGTGGAAAAGTTGGGATGGGGAACTCTCAGTGAAGCGCTGTGGCTGCGTTACAATAGTTAACGGTATACTTGGTCAGCGATCGTAAATGGCCAACATGTGCTGATCTTGTTCACTGTAGGTTGCGTTGCGTTCCATAGTTTGGCTTCAAGCGCAGTGAGATCATGCTTTATCCGAACTAATGGATGTGGAGCCTCGCACAAGAGCTGAGCGTTTGCAGAATCATGGTTGGAGAGAACCATCAAAACATCCTTCGTAAGAGGGTTAAGTCTAGACCCAATTATTCCTGCTATTCGGCTTTTCAGAAGCAACCCAAATATTTCTGTACAGCTACTTCTGAGTCAACCCCTTTTAAACTATTGGTGGGGTCCATGTTGCTGGCAATGGTGTCGAAGGTTGGCTTACTTTGTGCAGAAGCCGGTGCAACTACCTTGTCAGGCTGCGACGTAAACCTCTCAGGACCTTACGGGATGTTAGCTCAACGCTTTGCACATAATTATGCACAGATTGCTAGCTGCTACTCAAATGCGAACCATACAGATACCATTGACCAATCTAACAGTCAGAGGCGTACTAAGGGGGGGGGGCAGTCCGCCCCGGGCGGCATGTGACAGGGTGTGGCAATTTTAATACGAATTTCAATTCGAAACCAAACATAAAGTGCAAAATGTTCGGATAAGCTGAGGGTTGAATATTTTAATGTTACTCCGTATGACCAACAACACTGCTGCTCCATGTGTCACATCTGTACAAACGTTCTTCCCAGCGATCCCATTACTTGTCAACTTGTGGTCACTTTCACCACATTTAACTCAGTGTCCCAAACGATCATCTATTTCACCGTAAACTAATATGCACTTAACGCTGAGCCGACTGTGTGACCTTCAGATGCCTATTCTGCCCTTATTCAAGGCGCAAATTTTATCACCGCCCCGGGCGGCAAAAGTGGTTGCCAAGCCACTGCTCGCAATCATTGTTAAAGAATTATATCGCACGCTAATTCTACGTTCCACCGTTTTCATGAGGTCAATGTAGTCACCTTCAGAGACTGTCAAAATCCAACTACTAATACGTGCCACAATGAACTGTCTTCCACCCGTTTGCTCATGCTAACCTGCCACTCCGTGCAGGTGTAGCAGGTTGATGAGCTGTTCTGACAGGTGCCACTGATGATATCCGTGGTTAACCACCCTATGGGTTCATTCATAGTCTACTTATGCATCAGTGCGTACAAAACTGATTATACAGCTTCAGCAGATCACAGAACATCAAAGTGGACCCGTCAGCACAAAGCACAGGTGATTTGGAGCGAATAACAAAGATTTGGCGGGGTAACACATGGCCTTACGACCTCCAGTTGTTTGAAAGTCTGTCTCCTCGCATGGCACGCGACAAGTAAATCGAGAGGACCAAGTCTTCTTCCAAACCCAGTTGTCAAGACGTAGGACATACGCGAGGAGTTGGTACCATGGGGCTGGAAGCTGCAACGCTCCAAAGAAGTCTTTCTTTCTCCCAGATTCCGCATGGAAACGACTGATGAAGACAACATAATGAATTAAAGGTGGCAAACAATAACTCGAAGTGTTGTGGGATTGGTCCACACATACTCCAGGTACACGAGATTTATGGCAAAAGCACGCGACTGCGTCTTTTCACCCCATCTGCTAAAACTATAGTTGTGTTAACTTACTTAGCACATACAACGGTTGTGTTATATTTATGTGTTCACAAGCCCAGATGTACACAGTCAAGGTCAAAGTAGAGGTGTGTATACGTAATACATAAGCCGGGTAGTGGTGAAACGAGGTAACTGTAGGTTCACAAAGCCCACGCACACGAAATCATCGTTTTCGTAAGCGAAACTTTGGCCACCGCTACATCGACAATGCAGACCGGGTGGCTGTCTGACCTAACCACTCCTCGAGAAATCACCAGATTCTTGAGTATTTATGCCATTATTGCAATTGTACAAACAGGTAATCCCATTGCAAAATTTTGTGCAAGCCACAACGGTGTACCTTAACGCTTTCTGGGTTCTTAAATAAATAAATAAATCCTTAGTTCTCGTTGATGAGAGAGACTGCGCCCGCATAGGGACAGGTCGACTCTTAAAAAGCTGGGCTTCACAAATGACGTCATCGAACATAGGAGTAGAGAGAAAGCATTTTAGTTGTAGAGTTCGTATGCATGTAGTTACTTGTGTGTAACATCCTGCTGAACTATGTGATGGGCTAAGGTCCGTATCACACATTCATTGTTTTTCCTGACGGAAGCGGCTGTTTGCTTCGGAAGGGGTTTCACATCTTCATGTAAATGTTTCGATAGACCTTTTGTCAGGCGCCAGTTACGGTGGTTCCACATTGAATTACTCTGACTTTTGTCTCCGATGAAGTTAAGCATGTTTCAACATGGAATACAGTCACAATCTTCCGCAAGACGAAACTTAACAGTATAACTATTCCATCATGTCCATGCTGCAGCAACTTTCTTTCAAAAACAGTATAAGATGCGATAAATAGCCGGTTTGCTCCTATGAGTTGTCCACGCCATTTTCGTATACCGTTTCCCAAGGCTGAGATATCAGCAACAAAGGTATGATGTTTTACATAGTGAGGTGTTTCTTGATAGCAATTTCAAACCCGTGTCATCTACCGCATTTTCCGATGTTTGAGGTAATCCACTACAAAGCTTGTTTCCCTCCTTGGAATTAAGATTTTGCAACTCACAGCACTGGTATTATGCGTTATACACAGGTTTATTCCTGCGTTGTGATCACAGTTACAGTTAGTACTGAACAAAATACACAGTCTTAATAACATTCTTCGTAAGCATATGGGTTGTGGTCCAAGGATAATGCACTTCTCAATATAAGTCAGTTTTCCGGAGTGTCCAATTATTCATTTCGTAAATCGGTGTTGGATTCGCCAAACAGCCATTTTGTCCGACTTCCACATGCTTGTGCATACCATGGAGATATTTAAATTGGTTAGCAGTGCGTATGCTTTTTACAGCCGGCGCCGAGACTAGGCGAGAGAGAAAGAACTACATATAAAACCAAACGCAGCAAACGCAGCAAATTCCTTATCTGCACAGTCCTGCGGAGAGACCAACACAACTGCGCCCACGGCACACAGGAGGACCGAGCACAGCACCAGTGAAACTTCTGTTCAGGAACGCTTATTAATGCCATACAACAGGACTGAAATACATAGACCAAAAAACGATTAATTGCCGGCCACCTAACGGCCGGCTTAAAAGCGAACACAAACTTGACATCTATCAACGAACTCCTAACAACAAAAGCCCTAACTTGCATGTATACAAACGCTCAAGGCCTGCTAAGCAAGCTGGCAGAACTTAGAGAACTCCATGCCTCACAACCGCGGGACCTCGTCATGATTACAGAGACATGGTTAAACCCTGAAATAACCGACTCTGAGATCAATTTACCCGGTATGTCACTGCTTCGGACCGATAGAACCGGAAGGGGAGGCGGTGTGATTCTTTATCACAATACAAACCTCCGATGTGAAGTTATCGACCACCCAGAAATCAGAGCACCCGATTCGCTTTGGTGCCGCCTATGGTTGCGAAACAAGGGCACATGTCTACTAGCCGTGATTTACCGCCCGCCAAACTCAACTTCGGAAATGGACTCCAAACTGAACCACGTTTTCCAGTTTGCTTTGAACAAGTCCTACACCCACATGCTTATCGCCGGAGACTTTAATGTGCATGACATAGAAACGCCGGCAACCGATGGTATGCAGTTTAAAGCCTGCTTGCAAGAGCTTATTGCTAGCCACCCTCTTTACAACCACGTAACCTCTCCCACTAGATTTCGAACTACTAACAAGCCGTCGATACTGGATCTTGTGCTCACTAACGAAGAACTCATGGTTGACAGGATAGTTACAAGCACACCACTAGATCGTAGTGATCATGTTACTCTACTCTTTGACTATATTTGCTATGCGGAGTACCCTGAAAAGGAGGAGGATAAAGTGCATACTGTCACCCACTACAATGTGTTGTCTAAGCTTGTTAAGGATACATCCTGGACTTTCTTAACCGAATGCCCCCCAGATGTTGCCTGGGAAACATTTACAAGGACGTTTAGTACACTGGTAGCGCACGCATCAGAGGAGAAGTCCTTCCAACCTAAAAACAAGCGTAATTCATTTCTGAGGAGCAGGACACGTAAATATATGTCCCGGAGGGATTTGGCATGGCGAGATCACCAGGACTGCCCGAATGCCGAAACCTGGACTGCATACGTGACCCATCGTAACTTCTGTGTGAAACTGATCCGTGAAGACAAGGTCACTCATCAGCAGAAGTTAATGAAGCGCTTCTGTACGAACCGCAAACTCCT